ACGTGGTGACCTAGCGGGTAAGTGTAGCCAAGGCCTCAGATATGGTTTCTGGGTGTCTATAGTCTCAGGAAGACTGCAATGCATCAGCTTACATCTGATTAACATTTTCAAGCTTTTCTTTGCAACCACGGGGACTAGAAACATAATATTTTTAAAATAAAATCTTAGATTCTAGAGCATAATTCTGCAGCACAGTGTGGATTCCAAGGTAAATTCCAGAGAATACAAGGAATCCTGACTACAGGTTTCAGCATGCCATGCTCCGTTTTGATCAGATTTTCAGCCACCTTGTAGGTACTGTCTTTGCTAAGGCTACAGACCGTGGCATGCAATACTCCATTTTATTCTGAGCAGAGATGCTCATGGAAATCTACAGGTCCCAGCATGTTCATCTTGAGAAGTGTGGACAGTGCATTTTTGCCCTAAGTGGAGTCTGCAATGCACACAGGGCATCTCCCTGCATACACTGCAATTTTTCAAAAAGAAAATGAGGGTGATCTGTACAACAGGCCTATGTTATAAATTCTATAGTGTCCAAGTGGAGGCTAGGTCTGGGTCCCAAGGTCAGGACCATTTTCACATTGTGGTGGTTGTTGCTAGAAACCACCAAAATGAGATTAAATCACAGGTTCAAAATATCGCCCAAAGCAAGCTTCCTAGTACCACCTTTTCCTTTCTCCTCTTTATCCTGATGTTTCTTTTCCACCCCCTTTTAACAGTGTTTATGTTTTTCCTTAGGCCATATTTTGTCATTCATTTTAGATGCTAATTAAAATCTCTCTCTCCCCATCTCTCTCAAAGATGTTTTCTTTGCTGATTTGGCCTTTCTTCCTCTGTCTCCTTTTTGGCTTCACTGCTTTCTCTTGCCATCCCAATCACTCCCCACCATTTCTAAGCCCCTTGCTCCCCTACCCCTCCCCTTTCTCCCACGCCCTGCTGGGGCTGTGTGCTGCATACCGGGGTGGTGAGTGTTTTGGTGAGCGAGCGGCTGAGAGTGGGGTGTCTCTCACTGAGTGGGGATGGGGATCACCCTGCCCCTGTGATTACCCCTCTGTGCTCCCAGATGGTCACCCTGAGCTCGGCTGCTACCTCCACGCCCAGAACCCCCGTCTGCCTCCGGCCTCCGTTACCTGCCTTCAGGATCAGGGGTCCGCTCTGGGGTCTGTGCTAAGAGGGCCTCAGGCCACGCTGCAGGCGTCGTTAGGATGCTTCAGTTGCTAGGGCCGAGAGACAAGCGGGACTGACAATACTATCAGGCAATACGCGCCTTCGAGTTCAACCCGCCCCCTGCCAGGGGAGCCCCGATTGGCTGAGAGAGACGAGTTCTGTTCTGAAAGCGATACCGATAAGACTCTAATTCCCAGCATGCTATGCGCTGCCATTCTCGTAGCCACTGGTGTGAGACAGCGAGCAGTGCATGCTGGGGATTGCGGTCTCTTCACTGGGGAGGATGAAGAAAGAGTCTGTTCTGGGCGCATTGTGGGCTCCTCTGGCTATTCAGTGCAGCAAAGGAGAGGCCTGCGTGGGGTATAGGCACCTGGCTGCGAGGAGAAGGATGGTTATCAGATCCCTGCAATCTGTGTTTAAGGTGAAGGCAGGCAGGGGGAACGGACCTGCTGCCCCAAAGCTTATCCATAGAGAGGGAGACACTTCACACACACCCCAAAAAACCTTAACCACAAGCTGCCGCTGGAAGAAGACCTTTGCTTTTGTGCTAACTCTTCTGACATAGCCTCTACAACTGTGTCAAGATTCCCCCTCGGTTGCTAAAGCTGCCACCCTCCCCCCAAAGCAGCTCATGTCCCAGTTCCATTCCCCCCCTTCCAGGCCCTGAAATTGAAAGTCTCCCGTGTTTGGGGGGTTCTCCTTGATTTGGGGTCATTTTAAGGCTGTTGTGAGTCTCTCCAGATAGGGAGGGGAATTTAGCTGCTTTGGTGAGATAGTTTGTTTTGGTTTTGTTTGTAAATCTCCCTCCTTCAGTGCTGGTCTTACATATGTTTAGGAGAAGCATGAGAATCATTTAGATTGAGTTACTTGATTGTAAGCTCTTTGGGGCTAAGGTTCATCTTTTTGTTCTGTGTACAGCATCTAGCTCAATGGGGCCCTTGATTGAGCCTTCTAGATGTTACTGCAATACAATAATAATGACCACCTAGGGGACAGGAGTGCCATTTTCTTCTGTTCCTTTCCACACAACCAGGAGGGTCCTAATCTCTCTTAAGTCTGCTGATACTGCCTCTGACTTTCCCAGTTGTCCCCCCCGTAATTATAAAGGAAAAGTTTTCTTGCCACTACGGAGTCTGCCGCAGGTTGGGTAAGGGGGCAGCAGGTAGATCAGTACTATTCCCACGTTCTTAGGGCAGTTTCTCTCTTTCTTGAAACTACCCTCACCGTAGGCAGCTGTGCCAAAGTGATCTTTTGTATCCTAGTTCGGGAGTGACTGATCCTCGGGAAAGAGGCGTATTGTCTCTTTGAAGTCTAGCTAATAACTTTAATAGGTTAATTAGATTTGATGTTTATGATGAGTGCCTATGCAGAGCTATAGTCAATAGAAGTCATTCAGCATAGCTCAACCCTCCCCCGCCCCACGCAGACTGCGCTTCGTAATTATGATTTTGTTACTGGAGGATGAAGATTTTATTAAAAGATCCAGATGAAACTAATTACAGCATAGTGTATTCTTTCTTCCAAACCAGGAACACGGGGGGGAGGGGGGGGGTCGGAGAAATCCAGTCACACACAGAACTAGTATTACAGTACATACATAATATTCCAAAACATCTTGTGTAACGGTCTGTCTGTGACATTACATTCCAAGAAACTATATACATACACACATACACACACACACACTGTTTCTTGGAATATATATATATATAAAAAGTTCAGCGCGTTTTATAAGATTTTTCTTCCAACAATTTCAAAGCACTTTACAAACATTAGAAAATAATCCTCACCATACCTCTGTGAGATAGACCAGGATTATTAGTCCCGTTTTCAGATGAGGAAACTAGAACACAGAGAGGGCAAGTGACTTATCCAAAGTCAAACAGGAAGTTAGTGGCAACATCAACGAAACAACCCACATATCCTGTGTTTTAACCCCTTCTACTACAGCATGAAAAATGATATAATTACTATAGTAAACATTATTCTTTGTGCAAAGCATATTTAAGGTAACACTTCAGTTCAGATTTGCCCCCAAATTTAAGTTGTATACAAACAAGCTAAATTAATAGAAACATTCAATTTTATTGAATAATATCCAATTCCAATGCAAATTTTATACAAATAAACATTTCCCTGCAGTGTTTGCACCCCCACACATTAGCTTACTGAGACTCTGAAAAGGAAACGGATGATAAACAAAAATGACAATGACTTCACTCATTCTGAGTGTCTAGGCTGAACGACATGCAAAAAGTAAACATTATAATAGTGACGAGTAAAACAGGTGTTTATTTAGAATCTTCCCTGTTGATTACCTACATGCTATTGGTAACGCAAGTACCGATATAGGTTTGTTTTCAGCGTATGATTTTTATGTCTGCATAGCGTTTTTGGACCAGAGCAAGAAGAGAAAGAAGGATTAAAATAGGCTCCTACTCTTCTAAAGTGACAGATAAGGAAGAGAACTGTAAGTGCTGCTGCAACTTGATCTGTGGCTCGGATCATCACACAGTAGTTTTTAGGACTATTGTTTGCAGGTTGGGGGATCTGGTATGATGTAGATGAAGAGAGGGAAAATACCGAAGCGAGGAGGACTCGGACCTCAATGAAATTCAGTCTGCCAGTGGGAGGAGGCTGCTGGAGGAGCTGAGCGGCAGTCACGTGCCGCTAGTGCGGCTGCAGTATCAGTTAATCCCTGAGATGAGGTTCTGGGCTCTGCTGCTGTTAGACGCCAACGCTTCCTCGCTTCACTTGTCTCCTTCGGCCACAGGCCAGGAAAGGTGCGTATGCGGCTATGAAACCAACTCCCCACTGACGCCTTCTCACCAGAGCAATTTGCACCTTCCCAGCTGGCTGCTGTAGGTACGTGGGTTGACGCGCACGGGCTATTGGCATCAGGTGTCCTTGCACTTTGCAGAGATGCTAACAAGATCGCCCTGTGTAGTTTGCCGAGGGGCAGGTTATATAAATAATGTGTCAGGGCTACTGTTAAATAAGTAAATATATCAGTTTCTGTAGGTGGTGCTGCCCTGGGGAAAATAGCTAAGCAGCCATGGAGGAGAAAGGCACAGGAGCAGACTGCGAAATGCAGTTTTTCTATTGTTATCCTCCAAAAGGTCAGTTTGTGCGCAGTCCCCCTTTGACATCTCACTTCCCAGGAGGTTGGGGAAAACTCTGCAGTGAAAGGCTCTGTGAAGCTACCTTTAGGGTGTAGAGATGGGGAACAATTTCCTTCCTTCATGTATCCATGACATTGTATAGTCTCTTTAGAGTGCCAGGCTGCCACATTTTGAGTGAAGCTTTGGGAAACATGAGTTGTTAACTTTTGAAATGTTTAACTATTTTAAACATGGATACCAAAGTGAGTGATTCCTTAAAATTACCTGCAAATAGATCAGACTTGATATGCTTCCTTTTTTTTTTTGCTTTAAGGAAAGGTTCTAGCTAACTAAGTAAAGCTGTTTCTATGGTAATAGTGTTGGTGCTGTTGAAACTGTGCCTAAAAACCCTACAATATTTCCTAAATGTTACTTTCCTTACAACTGTTCATGGCTATAACGTTTTTTTAACCTGTGGGTTTTTTCAGTGTGTTGGCACTTTGTCATCTATTGTAAGGCTACCTTGTTGGTGACTTGGAATAAAAATACTTGGCAGAGATCATCCTAGATGATAGGACTATGGACTTTGCTCTTAAAAGTTTTCAAGTACAAAGAATGAAAAAGTTTACTATTTAAATACCCTAATACTTCATAAAAAGAAACTGAAGTTGAGTTAACCCTATACAGAGAGATCCAAAGCTATGTCAGAGTTTTAATTCTAATTGCTTCTTGTGTCTCTGGGCATTGTAGTACTGACTAGCTAGTCCTGCTCTCTACCAGTGTATCATTCTTATTGAAGTCAATGGCACTATGTGTGGAATACTTGATTTTTCAGACCTTATGTAAGATCTGCCCCCTGCTTGAAGACCCATGTAGCATTATCAAGAGAATTTCAGGCCCCAGTATGTATTCCCCTAACCATTACAGAATCCTTCCCAGGACTTTGGATGTGGTGGTTACAAGATGAAAGCCTGCAACATGTTCTTAAAACATCAATAATAAAATGACCTGTATTGCTGGAAGCAGACCTGTAACGTCTGTGTGTTGAGAACTATTCCCACTCCGAGTCCTCATGGAGCCTTGAATATAACCAAGGGTGAATAAAAGTTACTCTTCTAGCCATGCTTCCTCCCCCCACCCCCTATAATTGGTTTATGACCTCCAAAATCATAAGTGGAGTTCTTAAAGTAACTTCCTTTACTACTTATGATAGTGTGGGAGATGGAGAGACTCTTGCAGTGCTTGTTTATGAAGGTGTGATTGTTTGATCTAAAACATGTGTGTGGTGTCAATGCAACAAGCTTGTTGAGTGTCGGTACCACTGCTGGTTTGCCTGCAAGTTAATAGAGTGAAAAATATTTGTTAGTAATTGAGTATGGCCTACACTGTTCTAAAAATGTCTGTGGGGGAGAGGAGATATATATATTTTAATTGGCCACAGAAACCAAAAATCCTGTATGACAAGGAGGACGTACTGCCTTTAAGCCAAGATGAGTAAGATTTAAGAATTGTCAAATCCGAAGAAGTGGGCTGTAGTCCGCGAAAGCTTATGCTCTAATAAATTTGTTAGTCTCTAAGGTGCCACAAGTACTCCTGTTCTTTTTGCGGATACAGACTAACACGGCTGCTACTCTGAAAACAAATTTTGTTAAAGGACATTGGAATCCATCATGTACACTAAAACCTGCAGCAATAAGAGTCCTCAAAATGGGAAATTATAATGAGCAGTTTTAAATATGCCTTTATTGTCGGTCCTAGTAATAATTTTCAACGTTAAGAAACTATGATTTTCAGGCCTCTTTAAGTACTCTCATACTCTCTGGAGAATTAATACCATGCAGACCCTTGTATACAGCTGAGTACAATGACTTTGTGCAACAACTGAAGGAGAAATTAATTTTTAATGACTTACAGTTGGATATTGGATATAAATTGTGAATGAAGGAGAATTTTCTAGCACATGTAGCTTTAAAACTTTATTTGTCTTTAAAATGTCTTTCCAGTATATTCAAAACTCAGATAAGAACAGGGGAAGCAAATCTAATTTCACAATTTAATGGAAACAAAACTCTGTCCTTTTGTTGACCTATTTAGAACAAAAATGTTTTTGAGTGTAGCCTTACAAGCTCTTCACTTTGACTCCAAAATACCACAGTAAGAAGCTCTTGTGCTGAAGAATGTAATAAAGAATTTAATCTGTTCAATTCTTCTCTTCTCTCTAACATTTGCTTGATGCTCTTTACCATCTTTGGCTGCAGTCTTAGCAAGCTTAACAGAAAAAAGTCCTGTCACTGCATTTATGCTAGGTCCTATTATAGTACTGTCCACTCCAACCATTCAGAAATCATGAGTCAGGCCCTGCAAAATCATGAGATTAAAAACCTCACTAACCCCTCCGCAACTTTGGGTCCTCCTTATTTGCTTTCTTTTTGATGAGCCATTAATATGCACATAATCAATGCTCTCAAGATTTTCTCTGCAACCATAAAGGCTAGACACACTTTTTTTAAGAACAAACAACTCTGATTAAAAATGTAATCTGACTCAGGATCTGGGGCTCTAGAACACTAAATGTCAGATTCAAGATAAAACCATGAAAGTTGAGAATACAGTAGCAGTATCTTACTTTTGGACCAGTTGCTGCCTCTAAGTTATCTGTATTGTGTGAAAAGGAGAATTGACATTTGAAAAGGCTATAGGTCATTTAAACTTGAAAGAATTAGTCCTGGCCTTTTGCCTGGTTCTACTTTTTAGACAGCAGGCTTGGAGATGTAGGGGTAGATAACAAGTACCCTTAAAAGCTGATGACATACTACAAATGTCCTTCTGATTGATTTCCCTCTGTGTCTAAAACTTATCTCATATTTGTGGTTTTGGTGAGGGAAGAATAGAGCTTTTTGGCAATCAATTCAGTAATCCAAAGGGACAAAAATGTCACTTGTAAATCATGGCCCTAATATTTTAATCTCCAAATTCAATGGCTTCTCAAAACTTTGTTAATTGAGCCTAGGTATTGCTGTAGTTCTAAAGAATACATACGATATATGTCTTGCTATTTGTGCAATGTAGAGTGCAAATATCTTTAACCTGCTTGTAATCAGTAGACTAAAATCTTAAGTATTGTGTGTAATAAAAGTGATCTGCTGTTTACTGTATTTTTCCAATTGACTTACACAATGGCTTTTTTCTTCCAGAAATGGAAAATGCTGAAGTGGTTGTAAGCAGCTGCAGTTCTCCTGATGATGATCTTTACAGCTACAAACGACACCCATCTGTTTCACGGGAGCTGCTTTTGGAAGACCAACTTAGAAGGAAACTTAAATTTTTTTTCATGAACCCCTGTGAGAAATTTTGGGCCCGGGGCAGAAAACCTTGGAAACTTGGGATTCAACTTCTAAAAATAGTGATGGTTACCATCCAGGTGAGTTACTTTGGGAGCTGGGGCTTTCTTTTCACTCTATGGATACAAGATAGGAGGAAGGCAACTGATAAATATTCTACTTGCTGTGGCACAACAGAACAGTATCAACTCAGGCTTCTCTTGATAAGCAACTTTGGAAGCCTTGGCAATATGGTAGACGTTGCGTGGTATGTTCACTGTGAATTTTGAATGAGGTATGCAAACGTACATACAAACACACATTTAGGTAGAATTTAAGTACTCTCTCAATCTTTTCCTTCTCATCCAGCTTTAAAGTTTAGTTTGCTAGACCAAACATTTGTTGTTTGACTAAAATGTCATTATCTGACTCTCTCTCCTTTTGTTGTGGAGAAAGCTTATGCGCTAATTCCTCCCCTATCTTAGTCTTCAACCAAAGATCTTCCATAATTTCTGCTTATAGAGTGCAGAACCTAGTGACTTTCTGCTGTGAAAGCAAGAGTGTGGAGGACAATGGTCCCACAGGCTGCAAGAGTGAATTCCAGGAATCTTGGTTTCCTTGATGAAAACCTGGTGGGCTCTGTGTGCATATATGCTCTACTTCGTATTTTTTTTATATTACTTTTACTGCTATGTGTTACACGGATTGTCTTCCTCTTGTAGTAGCTAGAAATTGGGCATGGGAGGATCTAAATTGGAAGTAAACTAATGTTGAGCCACTGTTTCCAGGGGAAACATGCCCATACATGATAGAGTTCAAGTTATTCATCTTCTCACTAGTGTGTTTACATGTGTAGCCCTAGGGTGATCTATTGAGATGATGCACTCTTAAATGCCAGAATTACTGGTAATCTAGTTATCCTCATGTAGAAATTTCTTCCAGGGAACATCAGGGCTGCAAAATCCTCCTTTAGCCCAGTGACTGTCTGTTTTATTTCCTGGAAGTCTCTTCTCTATTAATTGGCAGTAAAACCACTAAAGGGAATTCTGGGCTCCTGTTAAGTCTATATAAAACTCTTCTACAAGTCTCTCTTCTTCCCCAGGGTAATACTTGTCAACAGGATCTTGTGCTAGCTAATCAAAACCTTTTAATGAACAGTTAATTCACTTCTAATATCTCTTTAAAAGCTGCTTTGGGTAATTGCAGAATGCTGTGCTAATGCCGCTTTTATCTGAGTGCAAGAGGTTAGACAACTACATTTCCTCTTCTACATCATCCCAGGGTGACTACTTTTTTTTTTTTTTCTTCCCCTCGCTTGAAAGCTCAATTTGGTTATACCTTGTAGCTGATTCTGAGTTGAGTCGCTCTGGTATTTCATGCTTTCCAAAATAACCTCAGACTATGACTGTCAAAACATGTGTAGTGACTCATTTGTAGCTTGGATAGGAGATGGGATGGCCCTTTTCTCCCACCCCCTTTATTTAATTAAAAAAAAAAAAAAGGACTGTTAGACCGGCCTCTATCTGGATGGGAAATGACTTTTTCCAAACACAGGAGGCGGTTGTACCTACACTGAAGGAATGATCTTCTAGGCTATGCATTCTTTGGAGAGGAGTTTAAATTTCCAACATGTCTTTCCCCCCCTCGCCCTAAAATAAACAAACAAAAAACAGCTGGCAGTGTGAGCTCCATTTCTAGTAATAGTCTAATCCAGCCATGGCTGTCCAGAGGAGGTTTCTGTGCAGAAGAGGGAGGGTAGTTTTACTGTAAGCCTTTGCAGTTCCAAAGGAAAATTGGCTTTTAAACATTTTCTTTTTTTCTCTCCTCCCCCCCCCCCAGTTAGTAGTTTTTGGGTTAAGCAATCAAATGGTGGTTGCCTTCAAGGAGGAGAACACTGTGGCATTCAAGCACCTCTTCTTGAAAGGATATACAGAGAGAATGGATGATACCTATGCTGTATACACACAAACAGATGTCTATGACCAGATCTTCTTTGCAATAAACCAGGTAAAAGTTTCCATTGCAATATGTCTAGTACATAAAAGGGCGTAGGAAAGAACCTGTAAATGTAACTTAAATCAAGTAATCTCACAAAACTGCAAAATATCTAAAGCTGGTGTCTCAGAAAAAGTGAGACTGAAATAAAACTGGTCGCTTTAGAAAGAAATTGGGCTAAAAGCTGGAAGAATTTCCCGTTTCCCAACTTCTTTGGGAGTGTTGGAAAGGGAGAACTGACAAGAGAGAATGCTGACTCTTTCTAAATTAAGAGGGCAGAGTATCAGTGAACAGAGACTTGTACTCTTAACTGTGGAGTCATTAACATAACTTAAGTATCTAGTAATTTTACAAAGTCAAATAGTAGTAGACTTTTTTTAAATAGTCTGTCATGTCTCTGCGTTATTGCCAAATCTTGAGCTCTTTATGAACAATGATATAGGATTGGTCAGATTGATATTCTACGAATGTAAAGTCCTAACTGGAGTGTGCCACTTTAGAATTGTATGGTAGATTATGTCCTATATAGTAGTAATACTACTGTCCTTCATTGTAAATTCAACTAAATCCATTAGTCTATAGCTGGTGTTAAGATGACCTGGTCTCCCAGTTGACTCTTTCTTCAAGTTAGGGAATGATTTCATGCTGAAGTTGAATTAAAATGGGTATGAAGGAGGAGACTTCCTCAATTTAAAACTTGTCTCCTTAAATAGTGAGGAGATACTAAAGTTGGATTTCATGACTAGTCTCTGGCTTGCTGGGCAAAGTATGAGTACTGGGGGAAGTGGTAAACTCAGTCTGGGGGAGAGGAGTTTGTCATTCAGCTGCAACCCATCTGGATGAATGTTGCCTCATTCTTTAGGGAGTCTTATCCAGCCATCTACAAAGCAAACAATGTGGGGATATATCTAGGAGAGAATCTGAATTTTGGTAGCAGGTCTCTAAGATTTTCTGGGATGAATAAAAGATGACGGGGAGGGATTCAAATAATTCTTCCTCTGTGGAGACTAGAGAAAAAGCAATTGGGTTTTGTTTTTTAATTGGAGTAGTGAGCTGGGGAAGAGAGCGGCTATGTTCTCCAGTCACTGGAGATAACTCTGTGGCTCTACTTCTTACTGGTTGAGAGCCTCCACTTGTTTTTCCAATACAAGCAAATAGACCTATCGCTTCTCTAACAGAGTCGATAACTTACATTTGATTATAGTGCTTTTTCATCATATTTAAATGCTACAAGGAATGCTTGTCACTAAACAATTTCTTTTGGCATAGTTGCCCTTTGGGATAACTAGATAGAATGGTCCACACTTTGAAACAGGAGGTTCCCCTTATCACATTCAAATGTGTTTGCATTTTGGCACCCAGAAGTGAATTATGGGCCCCGATACGTGTACCCGTCTCTCTAAATACCTCACCTTGGTGGTGCTAAATGGGGATATATCAACACAAATACTCTGAATTGCACCTGCAATTCATTTTAAAGGTGAAAATTATGCCTGTAAAACACTCAGGCTGGGTCTCTCACCATCTCAAAAATGAACTACCCCAAAGGGGGAGTGGGGGAAGAAAACGGGGTATTGGTCACAGTGTCTGTATGCTCTGAAGTTTCAGTGTCGTGGATTTAATTTATATTTGACCCTGCTCTCCAAAAGCAAATATTACAGTAAATATCTTTTTTTTGCCTTGGTCTTCTGGTTCTTAATTATGTAGTACCTCACCCCAATTCTGTTTATCCCTGTGATATATAGATATCCCTGATATCTGTAACTTACCTGGGCCAGCCATTTCTGTAGGTCTAAAGAACAATACATAATCCAGTTCCTACACTGGATGATCAAACATGATCAGGCTTTTCAATATAAACCAATATTAAAGCTTCCTGAGAGCTTGATGTTTTAGAGGCTTATGGCTAAAAGTGTAGAATACATGGCAGTGACAGGAGGCGGATCAGGATTACCCAGTGCAAGGTTTTTCTGTGTCCACACTTAAGGCTAGATTCACAAAGACACTTGGGTGTGGTGGTGCTCTGCATCACCATGCTTATCTTTTAGATTCTTAGAAAAATCACTGGGATTCATAAAGCCTGGGTTAGGCACCTGGGGTCCCTATGCGATGAATGGAGGGTGATAGGTGTCTCAGAATGGGATTCACAAAAAGCCAGTGTGCCAGGAGGCTCCTTGCCTAAAATAGCCAATGAGAGGTGCCAAGCTGAGGTGTGCGCTGAGCCCTGCCCCTCTCTTGGCAATAGGTGCCAAAATCTGGGCTGCAGGGAGATGCCTCCATCTGCTTGGGATTTTCAGCTGCAAACCATCTCTTGGTGTTAGGTGCCTGTGCTGTTTTGGTAAAGGGGTGGGGGCTAGTAGAGGAGAAGGAACAGGACCAGCTGCCTCCGCTTTTAGTCCAGTGATTAGGGTACTCATCCGAGATGTGGGAGACTTAGTTAAAGCCCCCACTCCACCTAAAGGCGGGAGAGGATTTGAGCAGGGATGTGTCACCTCAGGTGACTGCTCTAACCACTGAACTATGGATATTCTGATGTGGGACTTTTCCACTCTGGATAAACTAAAAAGTCAGTGGAGCAGGAGAATTAGACCCAGGTCTCCCACTTCTTAGGTGAGTGCTCTGACCACCAGGCTGCACAGTCATATATATTCTCTCTCTCTCTCTTTTCCCCCCCCCCTTCCTTCCTTCTCCTCCCACCAATGATTCTGTCATTTATGTATCCAAACCAGTGGTCTCCAAACTTTTTCAGCACAAGATCACTTTTTGAATTTAAGTGCAACCCAGGATCTGCCTCCAAAGAAAACACAGAAATAACAGTAATCACACAAACCAAAACATCCCAAGGCCCAGGCCATGCCCCTGCCCCGCTCACACCATCCCCACTCACTTTCACTGGGCTGGGACAGGGAGTTGGGTTGTGGGACGGGGTGCAGGCTATGGGCTGGGGCCGAGGAGCTTGGGGCTGGGGCTGGGGGTTGTGGTGCAGGCTCAGGGAGGGAGTGTGGGCTTTGGAGGGAGTTTGAGTGCAGGGGGGCTGGGGCAGCAGGTTGGGGTGCAGAAGGGGTCCAGTGTATAGGCTCCCGCTTGGTGCCCCTTACCTCAGGCAGCTCCCGGGCAGTGGGGCTCTGGCAGGCTCCCTGTCTGCCCTGGCCCTGTGCTGCTCCTGGAAGCAGCTGCCATGTCTGGCAGTAGCTCTGTGGGGGAGGGACAGGTGGCTCTACATGCTGCCCTTGTCTGCAGGCACCACCCCCACAGCTCCTATTGGCCGGGAATGGGAATTGTGGGGGTGGTGCCTGCATATGGGGGCAGCACATGGAGCCTCCTGCCCCCAGAAGCCAATGGTGGTCGCTTCCAGAAGCAGCGTGGGGCTAGGGCAGGCAGGGAGTTGGTCTTAGCTCTGCTGTGCCGCCAGACTGTTAGCGTCCGAACTACATGTTTGGCTGCTGGAGGGTTGGCAACCCTATCATGACTGACTGGTTGGTTGTGGAGCCTCTGATGGCCAGAGGCTCCGCGATCGACTGGTAGGTGACCACTGATCCAAACTAATACAGGAGAGACTGAGGAAGCCCCACACTCGAATATCCTATAGGCTGTAGCCCAGCAATTAGAGCACTCATCTGAGAGGTGGCAGTTGTGGAAGCAGAGAAAGAACTGACAGGAAGGGGATGCAATGCATGACTGTTCTTTCTCTGCTTCCACGCAGTTCAAATCCCTTCTCCTGCTCAAATGGAAGGGAACTCGGGGGTCTCCCCCATTGCAAGTGAGTACCTGAGCCACTGGGCTAAAAGTTATGAGGGAGGTCGTCTAGTCTAGTGTAAGTTCACCTATAGGGGTCTAGCTCTTAGCTGCCAAAGAACAACAATCTCTCATTCCAAACTTCTGGGCAATTGTTTGAGGGATACGATCCTATTTCTTAAATATCTTACAAGACTGTCATTTTAAGATTCCAGGGGACAACTTATCATGGCACTGTCTGACTAGAAAAGTCAGGATAGTGCCATGGTTGGGGATCTAGCCTAGGACTTGAGTCGAGTTCAACTCTCTGCTCTGCCACAGACTTCCTGTGTGACCTGGGCAAGTAATTAAGCCTCTCTTTGCCTCCGTTCCCCATCCTACCTCATAGGGGTTTGTGAGAGTATATACGTTAGACTGTGAGGCGCTCTGATACTACAGTAATAAGGGCCATGGGTAGGGGGAAATCTAGACCAAGGGAAAGAGTTTAGGAAAAGAGAATATTTTCCTAGAGTTGCAAGAAACAGACCTGGAGAGACACTGTGTGTGTGAAGAGGGAACAACCTGGTCTGCTGTGTGGTGGGCTGGAGTCCCAGTAGAAATTTGAACTGCCAAGGAGCCAAAGTTGCAGTAGAGGATTGGTAGGACTATAGAAAAACCCCAGCCACACCTTCCTATGCTGGAAACAGGGAAAAGCATGGTATAAGAACTGCTCTATCCACTCTAGGGCATCCCAGGGTCCTGTATGTTGAATAACACTCCTAGAGTCAGATGTGCTAATGTGGCTGCTTTTTGTAGCATCACCACATCACGCGAGAGGATCTGTCCACTATACCTCTAGGGTCAAATGAAATACTACTGTCAAACCAAATAGCTCATTTGTGTGTAAATTTTGACTAAGTAACAAACTACAATATTACCATATGCATGGGATAAAACCAATCCTGAATCAGATTGACAGATGAAGGCCTTCAGTGACTACTTGGAAAAAGCTGGTACTAGTGATCTTCATGCCCCAGTGTTAAACCTGGGAGGCTGTTGCCACCCAAGTCTTATCTGTATGCTTTTCATGTCTAATGGCTTTAATCCAAGGATCTCCAAGGAAAAAATAATGAATTAGCCTCATCCTAGGAGACCTTTAATAGAAAATACTGCTTGTTTAGGATCTAATCCGGAACTTTTTGCCCAGGCAAAACTCTCTTGAACTTAGTGGACAAGTCCAGCTGAGGAGTGTGGTGTAGGCCTTCTGAATTATTTAGGTGACCTTTTAAACAATGAGATGGTTCTAGTATACATTCAAACAAATATTGACTAGCTTGTTCAGATGTAGCAGCCTAGGCATGACATCTAATTCAGTTTGACTCTTATTGTTTTGACTTAGTACTTACAGCTGCGCAACATATCTGTTGGAAATCATGCTTATGAGAGGAGAGGCGCAGAACAAACAGCTATGGCAATCTGTCAACAGTTCTACAAGCGAGGAAGCATCTGTCCTGGAAATGACACCTTTGATATCGACCCCAACATTGAAACTGGTGACACACCTACCTTATATCTTGTCTGAACTCTTTCTTTATACTCAGTGAACTTTTTTGTTTTCAATTTTCCCCAAAAATAATCAGTTTTTTATAGTTGTATTAAACTGTCATGGACTCTACAAAAGTTTCTCTTCACAAAATCTAGAACAGATTATGCTGGATCACGTAGTCTGTCTTTAAACTTTTATTGTAACCTAACATTTGTGAAATGGGTAAAGCTCTGTAACTTTTTAAAAATTAATTGCAATTCTAATGCCGTTATGTTGAGGGAAGTAGCACTAGCTTTAGCCAATGCTATTGGTATTTTGACTGACTTATAAGCTTTTCTGTGGCATTCATCACTATATTATGAAGCCTCTTGCATTTACCATCACAACATCCCTGTGAGGTAAGGAAGTAAATAACTAATGTTAATTCTTTAAGTGTGCCTGAAGTCAAGAATGAATTGAGTTGGAGTGCAAGAAAGTCCATACTCTCGCAAACTGATCTCTAAAATGACTGACCCATTTGAGATGTATTGCTATTTTGACTTCTTTAGTAAATAGCTCTTATGCCCACTGGGGGGTAGTTTAATTTGTTTTAAACCGACACTGAATCCAACTGCTGTTTGTGCCTCTTTCTTCATGGCAGAATGTTTCTATGTTGAGCCAATGATGCCTTTGGAAAACAGAACACTGGGAAAGCACAAGTTCAATTTCACTCTGGACTTCCATAGGTGAGGTGTGTGTGTGTGATTGATTCTAGTACAGTGGTTCTCAGACTTGTGAAAGGGGTCACCAGTACAAATACCAAGCCTCTGAGTGTGACCCCCTCCCATAAGTGAAAAACACTTTTTTTAAAAATATATTTAACACCATCCTAAATGCTGGAGGCAAAGTGGGGTTTGGGGTGGAGGCTGACAGCTCACGACCCCCATGTAATAACCTTGTGACCCCCTGAGGGGTCCCGACCCCCAGCTTGAGAATCCCTAGTCTAGTACTATGAAAAGCTAATTCAAACTTGCCTTCCAGACTTGTAACAGTACAGCTTACCTTTAAACTGAAAGCAATCAATCTCCAGACAGTTCGTCACCATGAACTCCCGGACTGTTATGATTTTACTTTGACAGTAAGTGAATACTATAATATATTTTGTATTCACCATAGTAATAATTCTTATTGCATATGTGGATATCTTCGTAGGGAGTGTACTATACATACCATACATTTAACCATGGTTGGGCACCAGGGCTCAGTTATCATGGTGAGTGGTCAAGGGGGCTGCTGTAGCTTCCAGTAGCCTATAACTAGTTGAAGGTTGATGTTGTGGGAGCCACAAGACATTTTGCCAACCTTTGTTGATAGGCTCTCCTGTTAAACCTATTCACCAAATGCTACCAGACAGCAAGTATAAGAAATTAAACCTCCGTCTTTGAGCACGCTACAAGTCTATTTAAAAAAAAAAACTCCTCTCTTCTCTCTCAAGAGACCCTTCTAAGAATGGTTATGTGCAGTTCAGACTAGAATGGGATTGTAATTTAAATTAATGACTTAATTTATATTCCAACAAATGGATTAGTAATTTGCTATAATTACTATGTTCTATCAGACTTTACCTTTTTTCTGTTACATATTTACATGCATAAATTTGAAGATTCTTAGTTTCCTAATTTTCCTCCTAAGAATATTATGGGTCATTGTTATGAAATATATATAAAATTTCTAAGCTTTATGTAAGCACCTGTAACTTTATACAAAATCTCTCTGTCCTTCACACAGATAGTGTTTGATAACAAAGCACATAGTGGAAGAATTAAAATAAGTCTGGACAACGATATTGCCATCAGGGAATGTAAAGACTGGCATGTTTCTGGATCAAGTAAGTAACAACTAAGTTAAAATACTTTAAGGCATCCATAAATGTGTTTAACTTTTGTCATGTTAATACAGAATTCATCCACTCTGGATGGGGTTGTGTTAGATCTTCTCATCCTCTTTCATTTTCACCTTGCCAACTAATAGGGGGAATTATGTAAAGGGGTGCTGTCCACAGAGTTGGTCTCAAATTTAGGTTTTATAAAGAATCTTTCTGCTCATAACTCTCAAACATTTTGAACTTTCACCTGAAATTTTGAGAACACAAACACATAATTGAACTACTTGACGATTGAGGTGCTAAAGGAGCACTCAAGGAAGCCAAGGCCATTGTGGAGAAGCTAAATGAATTCTTTGCATCGGTCTTCAGTGCAGAGGATGTGAGGGAGATTTCCTCACTTGAGCTGGTCATTTTAGGTGACAAATCTGAGGAACTGTCCCAGATTGAGTTGTCATTAGAGAAGGTTTTGGAACAAACCTAATAAATTAAACAGTAAGTCACCAGCAGAGCTGTCCTATCCATAGGATGGACCAGGGTAACTGCTGGGACACAGAGTCCAGGATGGGCTGGGGAATTAGCCGGGGGCATGGCGCCAGCAGCAACAAGCGACCCAGCCCTGGCATCACTTGGGGGAGATGGTGGAAGCCAGAAAGGGCCGGGGGAGGGGTGGAGTGGGGCAGGGCCTGGGTGGGAGGATGGAGGGGGGTGGGGGTTGTCCTGCATCCCCCCCCCCAGGGATGGCCCTGGTCACCAGAACCAGATGGTATTCAGAACTCTTGGGTGAAGAAACTCTGATATGAAATTGCAAAACTACTAACTGGCCTTTGATAGGTTAGAGTCTGTACCAGATGACTGGAGGATAGCTAATGTGATGTCAATTTTCTAAAAAGGTTCTAGAGGTGATCCTGGCACTTACAGGCCAGTAAGCCTAACTTCAGTACCAGGACAGCTGGTTGAAACTATGGTACAGAACATGTTCATCTGTCTGCTAATCCTGATCTGTTGGGGAAGAGTCAACACTGCTTTTTTGCAAAGGAAATCATGCCTCACCTATTTATTAGAATTTTTTGAGAGGTTAACAAATATGTGGACAAGGGTGATGCACTGCATATAGGGTACTTGGTCTTTTTGAGAGAGCCATTGACAAAGACTCTCCCCCAAAGGTTATTTAAGTAAGGAGTCATGGGAGAAGAGGGAAGGTCCTCTCATGGATCAGCAACTGGTTAAAACAGGAAACAAGGGATGAGAATAAATGGTCTGTTCTGAGAATGGAGAAAGGTAAACAGTAGTGCCCCCCCATAGATCTGTATTAGGATGAGTGCTGTTCAACATGCTTAACCTTTTTTCCAGATCATTTACAAACAGTGAGGTGGCAAAGTTTTCAGACTATACAAACTAACTCAAGATAGTTAAGTCCAAAGCTGACTGCGAAGAGTTACAAAGGAATCTTTCAAAATCTCTGGGTAACAAAATGGCAGATGAAATTCAGTGTTGATAAATGCAAAGTAATGCATATTGAAAAACATAATGCCAAATATGCATAAATGATGGGGTGTAAATTAGTTTTTACCACTCAAGAAAGATCTTGGCCATTGAGCAGGTATCGTCATACCACTATCCACAACATGCAGCAGTGGTCAATAAAGCTAAGAATGTTAGGAACTGTTAGGAAAGGGATATATAATAGAAGAAGAAAATCACAATGCCACTGTATAAATGCATGATATGCCCACACTTTGAATACTACATGCAATTCTAGATGCCCATCTCAAAAAGATACAGAGAACGACAACACAAATGATGAAGGGTAGTGAACAGCTTTCATCTGAGGAGAGATTTAAAAGACTGGGACTGTTCAGTTTAGAAAAGAGATGAGTAATGAGTCTATAAAATCATGAATGGTGTGAAGAAAGTGATTAAGGAAGTGTTTATCCATTTGCATAACACAAGACCCAAGGGTCACCAAGTGAAATTAATAGGCAGCAGGTTTAAAACAAACAAAAGGAAGTACTTCTTCACACAACACACAGTCAACCTGTGGAACTTGTTGCCCCAGGATGTTGAGCGTTAAAACTACAATGGGGTTAAAAAAAGAATTTTGATAAGTTCAGGGAGGAAAGTCCATCAATGGCTATTAGCCAGGATGGTCAAGGCTGCAGTCCTATACTCTGGGTGTTTCTAAACCTCTGACTGCCAGATGATTGGACTAGAAGACAGGATGGGTCACTTTACAATTGCCCAGTTCTGTTCATTCCCTCTGAACCATCTGGCATTGGCCACTGTTGGAAGATAAGATACTGGGCTAGATGGATCATTGGCCATACTGAGTTAGATTGTTCTTATGGACTTTTTAGTACAAAAAGGCTAGAACTCTGTCTGCCAAAGCTGAATGATAGTGGTGAAAAGTAAAGCTGGTTCTTGCGTAATTCACTTTTTTTTTTATTCGAACGTGCAAAGGCTGTATCCAGTAAGTATAGAAATATAGCTAAATGTTGCTAGCATGTGTAACTGACGGTACCAAGGATTTGATTTAATTGAAATCAAGTTGTGATGCACAATACAGTATGCACTGCATGTTGGAATTTAATGACTATTTCAAACTAACTTAAGATTAGTAGATATTAGAGCTGGTCAAAACCCTGTTTGACACTTTAATCAGAAATAGCCTTTCTTTAAACCAGAAACTTTCCATAAATGGCTTTTTGTCAAATTTCATTTTCTTTCTTTCCTTTCCCTCCCCTTTTTGCCACTAAGTGCCCCAGTAGGATGAATGAGATCCAGGTTTTTGGACCTTCCGCCCCCCTTCCCCCCAAAAGTCAGCGGCAAAAGGAAAAAGCTTGGGAGTGGGGGAGAAAATTAGGGGTGTGTGTGTGTGTGTGTGTGTGTATTTTTAAAGGGGTGGGGGAGAGGAGAAAAACCAATCCTGGCCTTCAATCTATTGCATTCAGTGGAAAAAGGGCAGTGGAGAGTGCAATGAAACAAAATAGTTTTCAAAAATACTTTTGTTTTGATAAATCTTTTTGTTTTCAAGTTTTTCCCTACTTCGATTAGCCAAGTGGTTCTCAAACTTTTGTACTGGTGACCCCTTTCACATGGCAAGCCTCTCAGTGCGACTCCCCCTTTATAAATTAAAAACACTTTTTTTTTTTTTAAATTTAACACCATTATAAATGCTGGAGGCAAAGCCAGGTTTAGGATGGAGGCTGACAGCTTGTGACCCCCATGTAATAACCTCGTGACCCCCTGAGTGGTCCCGACCCCCAGTTTGAGAACCCCTGAATTAGCCCTATTAGCTGCCTTTCACCAACTGTTCACTAGATGGCATGCTAGCCTGAATGGATCATGCAGTGCTGAAAGAAGGTGCTTTATATCAGACTTGTGTGATGATCTGTATTAGGATGTGATGCCCTGTTAAAATGTGCATCACTAACATTTTTACAGGTCAATCCAGGAGATTCTTTTGTAACTTAATCTCAAATCAGTGGTGAAACATACTAGTCAAATTTACTTGTTTTACAAGTACAGCCCCCTACCAAAAAAAACAAAACAAAACTTTTTTTTATCCATTTGAATTAAGTTGCAAAAATTGCTCAAATGTGAGCACATAGCTACATATATGGCAGAATCTTTGTATATCCAAAATGTCAACATGTATCTTTGTGGAATGGTGCAGCAGGTACCATCTTGAGATCAGATAGTGCTTCAACACCCTATTTTAGATTGCTTGCTTGTTTCAAAACCTACTTGGATTAATAACCAGTAGTAGAGCCTTTGGTCTCTAAAAACCACTTTAAACAGAAAAGTAATCACTAGAATACCTTTTATGGGAGATAGGGGTTGTCTAGAATACTCAAGGAGCTAATAGAGG